CAGGGCGGGGCGGGCTGGGCCCGAGCGTTCGGCAGCGCCCCGGGGCACGCTGGGAACTGTAGTTCCTGACGCACCTTGGGCCGGAAATGACGTTGACCCAACCGACGGGCGGAGGCGCTTAGCGGTCCGCGTGAGGGCGGCCCTCCCACCCTCTGATTGGCGGAGAGACGCCGCAAGGAGCAGCGCGCGCAGGGCCGGCCGGACCGAGACTCCGGGAGCCAGAGGTGGGGGAGGGGGCAGAGGGTGTGAAAGCGGGGGGTCAGGTGAGGGGGGTTGGAAAACTGTTGCTGTGAATCTCTCTCAGCGGAGGGGGGGAGGGGACGGAAGGAGGTTCGATCCCTGCTGCAATGATCCGTTTAAAAGGAGTCCGGTCCCCTCCCCCCTGAGCCATGTTTCCGGTCTCGCTGAGACGCGGGTTAATCCGGAGTCACTGCCAGGCAGAACAGGGAGTGACTCCAATTCCCACGGGGGCAGATAAGATCGGGATGTGACCCTGTGGGGAGCGGGTTTCAGTTGTTGCCAAAGGGGGGAAAGTTGCTCAGTTTCTCTCTGTCTCTTTCTCTGCCTCAGGATATTGGGGTTGAGCTTCCTGGGAGCCCAGGCTGAGCAGCTGCTGCTCCCCCAGCGGGATCGGGGCTGGGGAGTGACCTCTGCGCCCAGCCAAGGTGAGGATTTCTCCAGCTGTAATTAGCCCCATAGGTCAACCCAAGGCTCTGCCCACCCCAGCATCTGAGTCAGAGACGCCAGGTGATGGATAGAGACCTCAGGGACCTGGGCATGGGCATGAGAGTGACTCTGCACAAACAGCCCCTCCCCACCCCATATCTCTCCTCCCCTTAGCAATTGCAGGAGCCGATCCAGCCATAGGAGAGCGAACCCCCAGGATTGGTTGTCAGCCAGAGTGGGAGAGACGGGGGAAGGGAGACACAAGGAGAAAAAGGCAAGAGAGACTGAAAAGGGCAGTGGGAGAAATAATTGGGAGAGAGATTCCCCAATTTCTGACCGGCCCCACACACTTATTATCGCATCCCTGGGCAGATTCACTTTGCTATGAACAAGGTGAGGTGCAGGAGGAGGAAAAGCCAGTTCCTGACTCTCCCTGTCCCCCCAGCGATGGGAGTGTGCTGGCCTGGGGACAGTGTCAGGGGGACTCCCCCAATGTCACGCCTTTCGTTCTGCGCTTCTCTCCCATTTGGTT